ATAAAGCAGTATGGTTGGCTAATTTACTCATGAATTATCAATGAGTTTGAGATATTTGTTGCTCACGGGCTACGGTCAGAGAAGCAGAACATCCTTCGTCAACACATGCATAAAAAAGAATGTTGTATTTCGAGTATTAAATGTGGAAATAAGCTTAAACACGAAAACGAAGCTGAGGGGCCACAAGAGGGCCATGGTGGTTCAAAGTTGAAAACAGTGTTAGTCGTGACGTAATTATCGGAAAGGTCTATTAAAGATGACAGCCTGTTATTATCAAATAGTCAATCTTTACCATGCTAGAACAGAAAATCTCGATTCAAACTCAAGCATGCATGCACTCTGAAATGGCCGACTCCGTCATGCCAATCAGACATAGATTTTTAAATTCCCAGACATAATGCTGATATGATAGAGACATGTGCATTTAAAATCATGTTATCAAGTCATCAAAGTTCGCCATGTGTCATGAACAATTGTATCAATTAACAATTATACATATATGGTGACATATAGGTATGGCAGGACAATGAGGGGAGGGGAGTTAATGGAGCTATTGCGCAAACTGGTGTCTTCAATCCCGAGGGGGGTCACAGAACGATGCCATATACGGGCGCGGTCAACGGGGAGGGGCGGGGGGTTCATGCGAGGGGCGTAACTAACCCGCGAACGGGCATATTCTCCCGTACTAAAATATAACGAGGGACTGTGGAAGAGACAGGGGGCGTATCACTCCAAAAAATCTGGTACACGTAAAAAAAATCTTTAAAAAACACCGAAAATCCTTAAAAAAATTCCTAAAATCTCGAAAAATTCCTAAATAAATCCAGGAAAAATTTCCAAAATTCCTTAGAGTTTTCTGAAATACAAAGAGTCTCGTACAGTATTTGAAGTGATGGAGCCTTGAGTTCATGGACTGATGGCATATATACTGGTGTTCCAAAAGCATGACAAAGGACATAGGGCTGTTTCGGATAATTTGGGACTCCCACGGTCTCTAAAAGTCACCTTTGCAAGGTCAAACTGATTGCAGATTTTGGGAACCTCTTTCCTAATTCATCGCCAGTTCAGACAGAAAAAAATTACCAGGCATGGCTGACCTATAGTATACTAAAGACCTTCTTCTTACTACTAATAAATTGAAATTATTGCTTACAGATTCCGTTTCTTTCACCACAATCTTCATCTTTCCCAAGTTTTTTGTCATGCGATAAACATCTTCTTTCATCTTCTCCCGGAGAATGTCTTGCCTTGCCAAAGAAATACTGCAAAATGTTGTCCATTGTGAAATTGTAAGTTACTGCAGGCGTACTTCTACCACCATTGCCGTTATGACTTTGTAATGACGCTTTAGAGAACTTGTTTTTTGAAGTTTGTTGCTTACCAATGATTCGCTGAAAATCAAATGTTACATAATATCATCCAAGAATAGCGCAACCTGATCGAGTCGAAGGCTGAATAAAGGACGCCACTAAACCTGCTCGACTGAAAACTTCGCCACTTCATACTTTTTATTAACCTCGCTTGCTCTGTATGTACAGAGAAATATAGGACCTCGGTCTTTTTGTACAAACCTCGCCCTACGGGCTCAGTCTGTACAAAAAAGACCTCGGTCCGATATTTCTCGGTACAGATCTCGCGTTCGCGAGTTAATATAAGAAGTTATTAATGGCCGAGCTCCAATATTTCTACAGACTGTAGCTGCAAATTTCATAACCTTTCTGAGTCGCAACTTTAGTGTTGAAATGATACGGTAATGATTTTAGTAATCTGTACGTGATTACCATTTGATGCGTGTGACGTCATACTTGCCAAATGCTAGCCCAAAATTGATCAAGCTTGCCAAAGTCAGTCGAGTGAAAATCTTTTGGTGATTTTTGAATATCTCAGATGTGATTTCTCGAAAGAAGAAATTGAACGGGAAGTTTAACTTAATTTACGGCTGTTTACTGTCATGATATGAAGAAAACTATATGGTAAATGTAACAAATGTTATGAATTCGTATACATATAAATACCAGCTGTTTCCTTTGCAGAACTGTTTTGAAAAAGCCCAAAGGGCAAAAGCCGGTATTATAATGAACTTTGAAACGCATTGTAATAAACTGTTATCTCAAAACGTCCATCTACTTTTTAGAAAAGATATGAAAATATAGATCTTATCTTTCTCAGATCGACATACGGCTTTTTGAACTTTTTGCCATAATGTAGCAGATGTATGTAAAAGTAGAAGGGTTAGACACAGCAAGTGATAAACAAATGCGAAAATAATCGGTTTTTCGTGGCATGTTTAAGACAAACTACACCTTAGGAAATTAGGAGTCACAAGGTTCGCGAAAGCCGCTTTATTTGATCGTGTAAAAACCCGAAAAAAGCGAATCGAAATGTATAAAGTGTTGAAAGCTTCGGTATGGCGCTGAGAAGCAGACAGAGAAAAACAACGGAGCAAGTTTTTAAATATTTGAATATTTCGAATTCAAGGTGGAATGGCAAGACGAATGTTGTCCCAAGCCGTGAAACGACGGAAAAATTCATTTTATCATGTTTTGTTTTGTAAAACAAGCAATACCAACGATCTGCTAATGCAAACAAGTTAGTTAAACACAATCGCGAAAAAACAATACGTTTTACATTGCTCGCGCTGAAATAAGACTAACAGGCACGTTTAAATGCTATAGGCTATAGCCTAAAGCAACTATGGGCTATTACCGATTAGGCTTAGGAATACCTCCTTTCCTTTGGTACCGGAATACATATCATTATATCATTTGTCTGGGGAGTTTTCTGACACAGTGTGTAACTAGTACAAAAGACTTTAATCTCAGCGGGTTTAAAGTTTTTTTAATTCCAATTTCTAACACTGACAGTAGTAATACTGGATTCAGTAATTCCACAAGGATATAGGTGTTTACTGACTTCGGCACTTTACTGCGTTTACTGGACCACTATATGGAAAGCAGTTCAAAATTATTACGCCGTTTTCGGAGTGGCTATTGTTTTGTTTTTAAACTGAGAAATATGCTACGTTTCGCTGCGATACGTCGGCTTGAAGTCAAGACAGGCTAAAGCCAGTTTTCCACTTTGATCGTATCGTACAGAAACGCAGCGTATTTCTTTGTTTCCTGAGCGGTATAGTGTGGAACTAATGAATTCGACACAAAATAAAATGCTATACGGTACGTTACGATTGAAGTGGAAAACAGGCTTAATGCCGAACTATTTTTACTATCTATTACCAGATGCTGCTCTGAGATTCACATTTTCGACCAATTTCCGGAAGAAAAAAACTAAGTACAAAAATGTATGCGTGTTTAGCAATTTTGGGCGTTTAATTTACTTGAGTAATTTATACTTGAAAATGTTAGTTAGTAGACCAGGAATATTCATGATTTTGAACAGTACAAATCAAAGCCTAAAACTGAACAATGATATAGCGAATTATGCGTTAAAGCAAACACATGAGAAATATATTATTCAGGCATGAGGCGGAGCGGGGAAAATGTTAATTACAAAATGTTATTCAATTTGCAAACTATTTCCTCTTCGATATTCATGTCGCAGAGAAGCCCTGGAGCCACAGAAACACGAATAAGAGTATTTGCCTTCGACTAGAGCCCCATATTTAAATAAAATGAAGGTCTTAACACATCGAAATTCATTGACCAATGTTATAAATTTATAAGGAGAAAGGTATTGTTTAAAGTCGATTTCTAATTTAGGCCAAGCCTTACTCTTATCGGAAGTGAATTATTAATCATTCATGTGGTATTATCTTCGTGTTCTCAAGATTGAAATACTTAGTTTATGAGAATCATTGCTTCAAATTGCTAGGTTTCGAGTGGACTATTTCAGATAAAACACGTTACACATATCATATTGATTACGGGCACGAAATATGTTAATGCTGATACGCAATTTTTTGCACGGTCATAATTTAATAATACTGTGATGTTATATTAAATTGCAAACTGTTAATAACATACCTTCACAGAGAAATCCGTATCTTTTTTCCCAACCACCTTGGACGAATCCGTGCTATGTGATAAAACAGCGGAGCGCATGATATGTTAATGAGATGTAAAAGAAATCCGTGCGCAAATGTTTGAAGCGTGTGTCGGCTGTGATTTTGCGCTCACCTGCCCTCGCGCGTCGATGTTGCCAGCTTTTTGTCAATGTTGTTTTAAATTTATCAGCCGTTTTTCCGAGCTGTCATTTACTGTGAAATGACGTCACTTTAATACAATACAAGTCGCCTTCTCGGCATGCAATTAAAAACAGATGTGCGCGATTTAATTAATTCCCGTCTGACCATAGTCTCACACGTGGGACTGTTGAAAATCACCAGCTTCGCATTTGACGTGCAATATTGGAAACGCTAATGGGTTATTTATGTTTCACGTTGGCTGCCGACACAATGTGCAGGAAATCACAAGAACGCGCGATAAGGTGATGTTTTGAGTTCACAAGATTTTACAAGATGTCCCCTCTTTCTTCCGCTGTGACGTTATCGTTGACATCTTCAAAGTTATTAAAAATGAATTAATAAAAGAGCCATCATCAAAACTATCTCTTTAAAAGATTAACAAGGGAACGTTTCGCTTTTTACTCAAGATTGAGCTCAAGACATCTTCAGAGTTAATGAATCAAGATATAAAATTACAAAGCTAGACGAATTTGCATGATATATTGCATACATATAATTGTTGTCTTTTCTACTTAAAATTATATAATGAAGTCGCAACTCCGAGTTTCACGTTTTCACGTTAGACATCGGCGCCTGAGGATCGTGAAAACGTGAAACTCGGAGTTGCGAGTATATATATATATATATATATATATATATATATATATATATATATATATATATATATATATATATATATATATATATATATATA